GTGTGTGAGCAAGGACAGACCTGCTCTTTTACAGGTAATTGCAGTCTGGAAAACTTCACTGCTTCTAATGCATACAAACCTGTATTTTGTCTTTCAACTCAATTAATATGCGGGAAGGTCTATTACATCTTATATTTCAAGTGCATACTATTTTGAAACATACTTATTTTATTGAAATTGTAGCAATTCTCTGAAAGGGTGATGCTGAAACTCATTACCTAAGAATTCAGCCTTTTGAAACGTGGTTTTTTTAAAACCCCAATGCAGGTCTATTTGTCATTATACACAACAGTTTCGTTGATGATTGATCAGGCTAAGGGTGGTGCAGTTGTTCTTGGTGACTCACTCTGTATATTTGACCTAAAGGTTGGCTTTTTTTTTTTTGGGTGATACTTGATTCTACTTGTTGAACTCAATCATCCTTTTTATTTGTTTATCAATAAAAGATTGAAGTCAAGTTTTATCAACTATCAGTTTCTTATTATTGTTTGACTGAAGGAATAGTCTGTATCATATGTTGATGGATTAAATAATTGGCGGTTACTATTTGATAGAGAAATAGAAATTTCCACTGAACCCAAGATAGACTGGAAGTGTTTAAGAAACTTCCCAACCTCCCTAGAATCTGGGCTTCCTTCACATACTTCATGACTGCTGTCTCAACTCTTTATTATCCACTTTGGGCACATAGTTTCAAATGTAATAAACTTTGTACCTAGTGAAGGATTGCTTGTGCATTCTGCTACAAGTTCCTTTTAGCATGTAAACTTTTATCACCCTGTGCTAGTGCTACCTCTGGTAATCTTTCCGCATTATAAAACGAATTCAAATACATGGAAAACAACAAATGAAATATGGAAATAAGCGATCACAGAGAGATCAATTTAATACGAAATGATTCTGGATATCTGTCAGAGGTTGTTACACAATAAATTCCATAAAATAAAATTTTCTTCTTATATGCCCATGTTATAAGATTTCCTCCTTGAAACTGTTGATCTCCTATCATCAATTAAACTTGCATAATGTGCAAACTTCTACAATCCATTAGCTGTAGACGTGTAACCTTAAATTGATAACAGTTTCCCCAATTTGTAAATTGTATTTAGTTTCTGATAGTTACCTGTCAAATTATTGTACATAGCTGTATCTTTAGGATATTACTTATTCCTTTTTTGGTTATTTGTAATTAGTTGCTGATTCCTAGGAGATTGATAGAGCAGTTGATATTTTCTCCTTTTATGTCATATCTTTCCAAATTAGTTCTCTATGTAATGGTTATTTAGACCTATCTTGTATACCTTTTCAACACAATAAGAAATTACAGTGTTTTGTCAATTGGAAGAACGTGATTTCTTTTTATATGTTTCTTGCAGCTTGTGGTAGCCTATAACGAGGCTCTTTTGAGTGGAAGATTGACCACATCAAGAGGCAGCATTGTGCAGTCTAATTTTTTGGGGTCTCTCAGGAAGCGAGTAGAAGAAATTCTAAGTTGTAGGGAGGGCTTAAAAGACGATTTTCGCAATTACTTGGATTCTGGAAGGTGGCCTAGTGGAGATGTACAGGGAGTGAGAAGTACAATATTCCTTTCCTGGTATCTTCAGTGGTACGGCATACCAGATTCATCTTTAATCAAGACAGCCATCGCAAAAATCAAACCAAAATTTCAATCATCATCTGTAGTTCCCTTGTTGCACTTGCTATTTCCACAAACCCATATAAACGCAATTCTCGAGATGGACAAGGCTTTATTTTCTGCTCCTGTCGCTTGGATTCTGTCCAGATGAGGTTAATTTAAGGGAGTAGACCTGTGAGTAGAAATTCTCTCCAGGTAATGTTAATTATTGCAGTTTCTTCTCAGATGGTCAAGAGCTGATTGGCTGTGGACTAAACCAACCAAACAATGAATGAAATTGGGACTCAATGAAATAGAAGGTTAAAAGCGGAATTAGACGGTTTGGATACTTGGCCTGCAATTTGAGTTCCAGGCTTCTGGGATTCAGTTCTGACAAGAAATGGTAGTGACCAATTCGCAATACAATTAGCAGACTGTGTGTAGTCACATTGCTCGGTACGCTCAGTAAACCGAGTCCACGAGCTCGAGAAAGGGAAGTAGCAGTCTCTTGCTGGTTAAGCTGGAAGAAGACGGAGGTGCCAAGCCTGATTTCAAAGTCCAGGGATTGATAGACAATCATCGACACCTTTTTTTGTAGTGCTAACTTTAATTTGTAAATTAGAAAGCATATAGACTTGATATTTGCTGTCAAAAGCAATCTGTTTTTTGACGTTTTATTTATTTTGTAAGTTACGATGTCTCCATATTTGAAGCTGAAGAGAATAACTCTGATATTATTTAACTTGACTTGTTCAATTTGTGTAGTTTGAGATAAATGAATCGCTACTTTCACTTGTATGTTTCTTTACCGGTTGATATGTAACTGGTTATTTCATAGTTAAATTGAAATGCCCAATTTCATCTGATTTCCAGTGTCTATGCTCTCTTTGTCCTTGCCGAGTTTAGAATTGGTTTCTTACTAGTTCCAAGATCAAAATTCGTTTTACTGTATAAACCAATGGACGGCAATGTCGTTTTACTTGAATGAGATTGCCGTTTTACTTGAATGAGTATTTGTACCCAGGATCTTAATTTTACAAAAATGTTGATGAAAATTGTTGATGGATATTTTTGAAAATGTTACAAAAATGAAAAATTTGTACACAATATTTCAAATAAGCATTTCAATTTTTTTCTAAATAAGTTAGAAATTATTAATATTAATGTCATGTCACCTGTCCTCTCACTTGTCTCGTCCGTGGGCCTTGGCGGACGATGGGCAGCCCAGCGCTCGAACAGGTAGGTCTTGATGCTGCCAGCTGTCGAAACTTCTGCGGGCCGGGTCAATACTGATGACCGCAGCTTGGAGCTTGTGGGCGACAAAGAGGAGCATTGAGGTGGTTAAGCAAGGGAATGGGTATTTAGGTTGCTTCTGCCACCTTTGATCCGTTTAAAAAAATTGGTACGAAAAGTGAATCTCCATCAAACCAAGAAATTCCACTCTTCCATTTCAGTAAATTGTAAATGTCTCAAAATCCAAGCAACGCCGACAATTACCATTACAAATTCAGAGGGTGCAATTTTGTCCATTTAATTTTTACTATAGAAAGTTTAGGGGTTTATTTTATTTATTGACAAAAGTTTAAGGATGCAATTGCAACAACTATCGTACTTTTTGGTGACTAGTTAGATTCACGTGCATTTCATTGTTGAGGTGAAGTTTTTTACTCTCAAACAAGTCAAGACTCTAAATTAGCAAGTGTCCATCACACGCTCCCAACAAAGCGGTATCAGAGCTTGAGTTTGAAAAGAGTTGTTTTTTTGCAAATGACAAACAACAATTTGGCTCCAAGGGGGAGCCGTTCATACCCTTGGTTGGACGGGGATGTAGATCCAATAGAAGATCAATCGGATACGGAGGAGACCAGAGAATATGACCCTATTTTCACCTTCTCTTCATCGGCTATGGTTCACGAATCCAATGAACTGGGACATGTGAAGTAGGGTCAAAATTCTCAAGATATGGCAAGCAAGACATACATGAATATTGATATTCACGTGGTTTTAAAATTTTGGAACATAATAATTTGGGGTGAAATTTGACATTTGAGTTTTTTTTTTTTTTGTTCAGTTTAAATATTACTTATTTTACATGAATTTAAAAAGTAATGAAAGACATAAAAATGAACATATATATGATCAAATTTACGTATAATGTAATTTAAATGAAAGTTGTGAACTATCCAATCCGATAGGGAGTTGTTTAGTAGTGAAGAGTTTCATTTTATATATATATATATATATATATATATATATATATATTAACTGAACCATAGCCATTTAAAATAGGACCATGGATGTCTGAGTCCATATATATAATTGATCAACAATAAAAAAAAAAAAATATATATATATATATATATATATATATACATCCAATTGTGGAAATATGACGCCAACGTCATCTTCATCATCGTTAACTAAGGTCTTCAATTTTCACGACTCTCATTACTTTCATCTTTATTCTATCACTATAGACCACTTGCACCACAGTTTCTAAAAAATATATAGTTTTTTTTTCTTTTATAAATGTTTTGTAATCACATCAATACGCGAATATATGTATCACTTTGTCGAACAGTCGCAACTTCTTTGGATTAATTTGTGTCCAACAATCGTGTAGCATAATAATTTGAATGGTAAATGGGTATTATATTAAAAAAATCGATAGCAAAAATGGGAGGTAAAAGTTCTCCTCCATAACCCCATTTATATATAGTATAGATATAGATTTGTACAATTTGTCTATTGTTTTTTTCCAATTGCATCTTCTAAGATCGGTAGCTTCCTTATTAACATCTAATAATTGAAGAAGCAATAGTTTAATGTTGTATTTAACCAAAAATAAAAAATAAAATGAAATAAGGAAAACTGCAAACTCTTTTTCATTTTTTAAGTTAAATTCTATGTATTTAATCATAAGAAACCCCTTATTCATATCCTACATATAAAAAAGATCCTAAATACATATGTATGTAGCCACTTCTCTATAAAACTATTTACATGTTTATTTTATGTTTTCTTATGCTTGGAGTATATTTTAATGGATTTGTGTCATAAATTGAGTTATATTTCCTTATTAATTTTTTTCTCCATTATGAAACTACCAAAATACATATAATATGGTTAAATAGACCCCTTTTTTACCATGATTATACACAATAAGCAAGTCCAATTTAATTCAACCATACCTCAAAAATCTATGATTTTTGAACAATATTAATAAAAAACATCAACAATGTTATCAAAGTGATTTAAATACTATTTTGACCACGGTAATTTCCATTTTACCTCATTTTGAAAACCTTAAAAACATCTATTTTAATCTCTATATTTTTCACCTTTTGTTTATTTTTATTCCCTCTGCAAACGACTTAGACAACTTTTATATATATATCATAGGATTATTTAAATTTGAAACAAAATTGTCACAAGCATACGCAATAAAAACTGTTCAAAAGAAAATTGGTAGAGAGAGCGAGAAAAGAAAAAAAAAACAGTGAATTGAACACACCACGTACGTACCGGCCGGTTCAGGCTTGAGACTCCACAGCTGTGGTTTGAAGAGAAACAACAATGGCGATGGACTCAGAAAAGGAAAATGATCTCAAATCCGATATCTGTCCAGCGGATCTTTGAGGAGAAAGCACCGATCGTGATGCACTCTCCACGCGTACTCTTCCAACCAAAATGATTTAAACGCCATTTTCACCTCCTCTTCTTCCTCCTCCGCCGCCTCGTCTCGCCGGTCGGATCTCGCCGGAGGAGTAATTAGAGGACGAACTTCGCTTTCGGCCGGAAGAGTTATGAGTAGCGATATTGAGATGCCGCCGCCGTTGGGATCCGCCGCCACTGCCACCGGCCTTCCTCTCACTTTCTTTAGCTTTCCGTTGCTCCACACCTGTCAAAAGAAATTACCCACCATTATCYAAATTTGGTCAAAAGAAATTACCCACAATTTACACCCATACCCATAATAATCCATTGAATCAACCCCTTCTTTTTTCTCTCTCTTTTTCCTTTCTTCTTATGAGAATATTTCCATCAATTATTTTAACAAATAATGGAGAGCTTTCTTGTCTAGATTTTGTGAAACAAGTATTTTTGTCACAAAAGCACGTGACCACTGCCTCTCAATTCGTGCAACCTAATATCTTTTTATTTAATTATTAATTAGGGAAATTCGTTGGCCGTTAATTAAATTCGGTAATTATCTCATTTTCTTTCTAAATCTATTTTTAAAGAAAAAAAGAATCTACGAAACGACAGCGTATTGATAACTTACTTGCGCAATGTCCCCAATGGAGACCATCACAGAGTCCGCCGCCGCCGCCGCCGTAACCCAGCTGGAATCCCCTAATAGAGAACACTTCTGGTTTCTGCTCTGGTACTGTAATCCCACGATGTACGGGTAGAATCCGCCGGCCACTGCCGGTTCGGCTCTCCGTGAACCTTCCGATATCCATATTAGAGACCGGAATCTGGTACGATCCTCGCCGATTGGATTCTCGAAGCCAATCGCACGAGATAGAAACTCGACAATCTTCAATCCGAGCTTCTCCATTGCACGAACGAACTCCTGCAACGAATGTAAGGAAATCTCGGCTGAATCGGAGGAGCACGGCGTCGAATCGAGACAGAACGAAAACGAATCGCCGTTTCCGCTTCCGTCTGAATCTTCATCTCCGTCGCCTTTGAATCCGAGCGGCCAGTTCTTCGGAAACAGAGATTCCTTCGTCTCCATCGGAAGACCGAAGAGCGCGGCGGATTCCGACTCGGCAGAGAGAGCGAGGCGAGAGGAGATTTGGTGATCGGTGAGTTGGAAGAAGCCGAGTTCGGAGGAGGCAGAGAGAAGGCGATCGAGAAGTGAAGGATTCGAAGTTTCTGAAAAGGAAATAGTTGGAGGAGACCTAACGGAAGGCGAGCGGCGAGTAGGGAGGGAGAGATTGGGCGGGAGGCGGTGGAGGAGGCGCGAGAGAGCATCGGCGGCGGCGGAGGTGGAGAGGTGACTGGTTTGTGACGACGGCGTTGGCGGCGGAGCTGCGGTGGTGCCGGCGCCATAGATTTGCTTGTGATCGACTGAGGAAGCCATGAGAAGAGAAGAGAAGAGAAGAGGAGAAAATCAACGAGAACACGGTTAATTGAATTAGCGTATTTAAATTTAAACCTGAATTTTATAAATATATAAAATGTATGAATAATCAATAAATAAAGTTCAGAGTTGATAACAGAGACGAAAATGTCAACATCAACATTTATCACCAATGGACGTAAATTATAGAATATTGATGGATTAAAATTTTGTAGATTATTTAACAAATTTGGTCCGAACTTATTTTTAAAAATAAAAAAAATACTCTATAATAACATAAATTTAATATTTAAAAAATAATATTGGTTCTAAAAATGTATAACATTTTTTTAAATATATCATAAATTTGACTATGTTTTTATCCTATATTTGAGTTTGCTTTTGATTTTTTTTCTGTACAATTTCAAAATTTTTACTATATTTTAAAATACATATTTATTTTATGTTATTTATGTAATATCTACAAAATTGATCGGAATAGTTTGTTTGTTTGTTTTTTTTTGATTTATAGTTGGAATCTCTACCTCATATTTATTATATTCTCATCAAAATGTTTCTTGATTGTACTATTTGATCGAACTTTAAAAAATTTTCAACCATGTCTCTAACTTTCAATTTTGATGTCAATATTTTATTGTCACTAACTTAATTACGATAAAATAAACATTGACATTATAGATTAAAACCAACGAACAATAATTTGACACATAATGCTAACATGTAATATGGTAGTTTTTATTTTATACATAGTCTATCCTCTTTGTCACTTATAGCCATGGCAAGTGCAACGATGTCCTCATATTCATATATCTCGAAAATATTTAAGTAATTGGGTTAACAATRAAAACTCAACCATCAAATTTTCATGAACAAATTTATAATGTAACCATTTATAATTATCAATATTAAAGCGTTTGTGGAAGTCAAAAAAAATATTAAAGTGTATAACTTTTATTTATTAATTAGAATAAATCATATGAATTTATTGATTTATGAATTCTAAATAGTTRTAGTGGAAACGCCTTTTTTATCTTAAAAGAAAAAAAATGCCTTTAGAAAATAATGAGGTCTATTTGTGTCACTTTACCTCATAAATTTTTATGATGAGTTGGCATTTTTTCATTTTGTTTCAAATAATTTTTATTTAAAAAATGTTAGATTATTTAATACCCTATAATTATTTTTCAGGAAAAAAATGTAATTATCTTTTCATTTTGTTACCCTATAATTATTATTGACTAAGATATTTTTATAGGAAAAAAAAATCACTTTAGAACAGAATAATATTTAAATCTTTGTTATTATTATTTACTTCAATTTCAATGATGGAATTAACAATATATTTTCAATCTAGCTGTGTTACTTTCCTGCTCCKGATTAATTTTGTAGTATAACTAGTGGAGTTGGATATTCAAATTTATAACCTCTTAATCAGAAAAGTGCTAATTACAGTTTAGTTAAGCTCATGTTGGCTCTTAATTCCAAATCTTTATATTTTATTAATTTGTAATTAATATTTTCTCTATTCTTTTTTTTTTCAAAATAGAAATGACTTATGCTGGCTAATATTTGAATGTTTAAACTTATAAAGAGTGGAAATTAATTTAATTAATAGTTCATCATTAAGCAAATAATTTTTTAATGGACCTTTTCATGGGGACAAGGACTATTTTGAGGGGACTCCTACCTGTTAATTGATTCTTGCAATTTTCCATTTCCCAATCATCAAACAAGAAAAGTAGTCATGGTTTATTTTGTTTGGATGCATATTCTTTCCCGACCAAAATAATAATAATAATAAGAGAGAAATTGATTATATATATATATATATATATATATATATATATAATAGAAGTTTAGTCGGAAACTTTTAAATTTGTGTTTCATTGAACTTTTAAAAATATGCATTATACAATTTTTTAAATTCACAAACATATTAAACATAAAATTAAAAAGTTAGAGTCATGTTAGAACAATTCAATCCTATGTGATCTATGGATTTTAAAGTATCAAATAGATCATAAATTAATTAAATACATAATTGAAAATTCATGAATCAATTCAATACTTTTGAAGTTATGGAATCAATTAGACACAMACTTCAAAATTTAAAGACATATGAGACACTTTAAAGATCATGAATTTAATAAATACCATCCTGAAATTTTATGGATTAAATTTGTAATAACTTTTTTTGACCACAAATTATTGGTGATAAGTAAAGAAACTTTGATAACTATCTCTAAAACAATTTTAAATAAGAAAATTAAAAGGAAAAAAGTAAAAGTTATCACATTGTCAACCTAAACATAATTTAAATGGTCAGATATGAAATATTTTTTCCTCAATTATAGATTCAACAAGATATTATTTCACCGAACCGAATATAGTTCTAAGTGGTTAAGACACTTATCATTGACCAATGAGTTTATGTTCTAATGTTTAAATTAAATGTGAGGTGGATGAAAATAGTGGTTAAATTGAAACTTGAAAAAAAAAATAAATAAATAAAGAGTAGGTTTTTGAATTAATAAAAAAGTGTGGAGGTTTTAGTGGTGTTGCCTTGTTGTGAGGAATCTGTGGGACTGTGTTGGTGCAGGTTTTGCATTGCACGGGCGTACCCAATTCTTATCTTTACGCATGCCCTTTCTTTTCAATTATAACATCTCTGTAGACTCTACTTTTCCATATATATTATTTTTAATACCTGTAATTTTAATTTTGATTCAATTTAATAGGCAAGCTTTCAAAATGTTTATTTTCACATCGTATGTTTATAAAATAATTATTCTGGTCCGATATTTTCATTTTTTATAATAATTTTAATATGACATTTCACCTTTATTAAAATGTAACCATAAATTTTATAGAGTGTTTTCACTGTATATAAAATTCTTTAATAAAATTTATGTTAAAGATTTTGTAAATAGAGACCAAAATGATATTTTTTAAAAGTGTAGGGACTAAAAATGACTTTGAAACATATAAACTAAAATGAACAAAATTTAAAGTACAAAGACCAAATGAACGTTTGGCCGTCAAAGTGAGCTTAGCTCAGTGGTAATTGACATATATTTCCAACAAGGAGGTTGTGCCAATTAGAAATGAACCTAAAGCAAAAAGTACCTAAGTATTTATGATATGAACCAAGGAGCTCTCTTTGTCATGCCTCATGGACCAATTACAAGATCAAGAGCTCGAAAACTTCAACAAGCCTTACTACTTCGTGTCCAAGCGTTCGTGAACTCGACACGAGAATTAAAAGGAAGATGTGCAAGAAGTTGGAACTATGAACTTCAATTTGATGCAAGTTATGCATTTTTAAGTGTTTTTAAGGCAAGTCAAAGTCTACTTGGTCAAGGTCAAAGTCAACTCCATCAAGACAAGTCAAAGTCAACTCATTCAATTCAAAAACCAAGTCAAACACTCATATCCCTCATTATGGACGAGATTGCACTTATTTTGGTTGACTTTCCATGTTCTTAACCTTTCATTTGCTTGTCTTTTTATTTCTTGTAAGTTATGTCTTTTCATTTACAAGTCTTTTCATTTCTTGTAAGTTACAAGTCTTTTCATTTGCTTAAGACTTTTCATATGGCTTGCTAGGATGGCTATATATAACCTTGAGATGTCTTGTTGTAAACACAATTTTGAAGTTGAATGAAAAGTGAGTTTTCTCATTAGCTTGGTTGAGAGCTTTATCTCCCATTTCTTGTGCAATTTCTTGTGTCTTTAGAATTTGCATGTTAGGATCATTCAAGCGGTGTTGATCATACCTCTTGTGGAGTGATTCGAATCACGAGTTTAGAAACAAGTTTTCTCTACTCTTGATATTGATCATCAAGGTAATCCGTTCTAAAACCTTTCCTTGGGTTGATTCCATACTTGTTTTCGGGGTTTTTGGGATTGAGTTCTATGGGTCTTGTTCGTTAGCAAGGTTCTTAGATCCAACTCTCAAGGGTTTCTTAACAATTTAGACCTATAATTTTTCCTTCATTTATTACAAAAGAAAAACAATTAAATAGACCTTATTAGTCTTTAAATAAACAATTATATATATAATTTCAATTCAAAAGACTGAAAATGAAATTTTTGTCGAAATTCTCCATGCCAACATTTCATTAAATCTTTGGTCGTCCAGCGATTGATGATGTCGAATCTCTCTACTATTTCCTTCTCTTGTCAGTTTATTTCCATTAGTTAACTGGTGGCGCGAAAAGTTTGGGACGCGGAACGTTTGTGGAGTACGTGCCTCACCGAGTTGTTCTTGGGCGGATCCCTCGTAGAATTTCTTACCGTACTCCTTCCTCAATGAATCTGAAATGAGCCATGCGAAGAATCACAGTAATTTAATCAATTCATAATAATCTGTGTAAAACAAGAGGGAAGCTTCTATATATATATATATGTATATATGTCACTCGTCATTAATGTAGATAATTAAAGAACCAATTTCTTTCTCATTGGTGGCAGCTTTCTTTGGCTCCCAAAAAATTCCGTATTTATTTTCAATTTTCTGGCTGCTCCATCCCTCGTGGGTAGCACAATGTGCTATGGAAATTTTTTGGTACTTCTTTAATATATATTTCCTCCTTTATAATATATAATATAGTTACATGCAGATTAATTTAATAGTTTATATATTATTTTATTATATTTATTTTACTTTTGATAATGGTGTGACAAAATATACGGTATGCTTCCGCTTTGGAGAAAGAAGAATTGACTTTAATAAAAGCAAGTTCTTGATATGATCGAGATTAGTAGATGGATATGCGACTATTTAAAAAATTTGTAGTACTTCGAGAGTAATTCCTTCCTATATGTTACAAACACGTGGAGTAATTATATGAATTCACGACTTCTTATAGTAGAAGATAGATGCTTTAACCAGTTAACTATGTTCGAGTTGGGCTGCTACTTTAATTTTAATTTTTTTTTATAAAAAACAATAAACTTGATATTTCTTTCATATATTTAAACAATTAGACTTATTAAATTTTTTTTCTTTTTGAGATCGACTTTACTAAAATTAATTATGATTAAATAACACTCCTAATATTAATTTAGGAACTTGAATATTTTTCTCTCAATTTAAAGTTTTTAACGGAAAGAAAAGGAATTTCTTAGAACAAATTGTATTTATTTTAATACTTTATTATAGATAATTTTGCTGCTTTTTTTAGCATATTAACGAAAAAATTAAGTACTAAAAAAACAGAGAAATTTATGATAAGGTTGATATTAGTGCAACGATTCTTAATATTTTAAATTTAGAGGTATGATTTATCAAATTAAAAGTGTTTAAGAATTGCATTATAAATTTTACAATTTATTCTAAAATTTAAATGTATGGTCCAAAAAAAGTAATTTTTAAGAACCAAAATTATTGGCTTTAACCAATATTACTCTTACCTATGAAAAAGGATCATCAATTATCTATACTATATATAAATGTAGCTATTGAAGAGAATCTTTGCCTTCCATTTTTGCCCCCTACTTTTTAATATATACCTATTTTACCTCTGAAACTTCTACGGAACATGACTATCTGAAGATGTCTGTTGAGATAAATTAATTTAAAAGAGATGTGACTGTTCAATAAAACAACGATACATCCATCCACGTATAGGTGTGATTGCAAACCACCTATACAAGAAAAGAAACCCATGTATTTTTTTTATTTTGCCCAAAACTCATGTTCGAGATATTGTAAAACTTCCTTGTGAATTGTGTGGTTGGGCAAAAACAGGTGGTGCAATCACGATAATGATGAAAGAAAATGAAAGTGATGAGAGTTATGAAAATTGGAGACCTCCATCGACGATGCGTTGGCGTCATATATATGTGATTAGATGTTTTTTTTTTTAATAAATGGGGCTATGGAAGAGAATCTTTGCCTTCAATTTTTGCTCCCTACTTTTTAGTATATACCCATTTTACCCCTGAAACTCCTACGCGACAGGACACGACTATTCGATGATGTCTGTTGAGATAAATTAATCTAAAAGAGATGCGACTGTTCGATAAAGCGACGATGCATCCATCCACGTACATGTATGATTGCAAATCACCTATAAAAGAAAAAAACCCATGTATTTTTTTATTTTGCCCAAAACTCATATTCGAGACACTATAGAACTTCCTTGTGAATTGTGTGACTGGACAAAAACATGTGGTGCAAGTGATTGATAATGATGAAAGAAAATGAAAGTAATGAGAGTTTGAAAATTGGAAACCTCCATTGATGAAGACAACGTTGGCATCATATATCTATGATTGGATTTTTTTTTAACTGTTGATCTAAAGTCTATTTTAAATGGTTAAGGATGCTTCGGTTTAATTTCCTTTTGGTCTAAAACATAAGTTTTTTATTTTCATATTCAAAAGTATGAAATAAGTTTTTAGATCATATCAATTCGTAAAAAATCTTTTCGTTTATTAAAAAGGGCGAACATCACAAAAAACCTGATACCCTATCATCTTCTCGAATGAAAATCAACAAAAATCGAAGATCCTACTAATTTCACGTAGGAGATTCAACAAGGACCTAATCAGATCATATAAAATGTAAGTCCTAAATCATTTGAATACTTTAATTTATTTTCTAAAAACCTTTACATTCATTATTCAAAAAAAATGTTTCATACTAATTATTTACGAATTTATATTCAACATTTTTTTACTATTCATATTATATTTCTAAATTTTAATAGATTAAGTTTCAATACAACGTTGTCGTTCAAAACTACCTATACGATGTTATTAACTTCAAATATTTTTTTAAAACAATGTTCCTAATGATGATTTTTTTTCTTTTTCAATATGTCGTCATACTATAAACTTTGTACACTAGGTATATGATTTATTTTTTTTTTCACGGTTAAATCATGTGAATCATGGAGTAGTTATGGGGTAGGGTCATTCTATTTTTTTTATTCTATAGATTTCTTGCCTTCTATATTTAAAAATATGTAAAATCTTTAATTTAAAAAAAATGCTATTTTTTTATGAATTTGTTCTTATTTTTATAAAACATATATTAAGTTGTATTTTAAAATTGTAACGGATATTTCACGTATAATATTTTATTGACACGAAACAAATGTTTTCTCTCCATAGATTCTAAAAACTAAATTTTAAAATTTTGTCAATTTTTTAGTTTATGAAAAAAATTTGTCTATTATTTTTATTTTTATTTTCTATGAATTTGCTTCTTATTATTGTTTTCCTATAATACTTCAAAAGTTTTAACAATATATTATTCATAATATATCCAATCCAGGAAAGTAAGACATTAAACAAATTTGAAAAAAAAATTAATAATACCATAAAATTGTATCATTACAAATTTTAGAAAAAATAAATCATATACATAGTATACAAAATTTTCTAGTATGACAACATATTGGAAAAGAAAAAAAATCATCAGGAACATTGTTTTAAAAAAATATTTGAAGTTAATAACATCGTATAGGTAGTTTTGAACGACAACGTTGTATTGAAACTTAATCTATTAAAATTTAGAAATATAATATGAATAGTAAAAAAATGTTGAATATAAATTCGTAAATAATTAGTATGAAACATTTTTTTTGAATAATGAATGTAAAGGTTTTTAGAAAATAAATTAAAGTATTCAAATGATTTTTTTTTCAGTATAACGTGTGGGATGGAGAATCGAACTCACAATCTCTTGGTTGAAGATATATGTCAATTACTGCTTAGCTATATTCGTCTTTTGCGAGTGAAATTAGTTTCTAATTATAGTTAAATGCATGAAATTATGTTATATGCGTGAGATGTTGTACGTAAAGGTGATAGATAGTGTCACAAAGAATAAATTTGCAACCAAAAGCCAGATCCTAACTCGATGAAAATTTACCCTTTTTCAAGACAAATTTTATGCCCTCTAATATCTAAGTTTAAAGAGAGTAATTATCGCATAAAAACCTATCGAATTTTATATCATCGTAAAAATGAGGTCTAATGGTCCGATAGAACTTTGTTAGGATTAAATTGAACTTGATTGAAAAGGAAAAAACATTAAGTCTTTAAAATAATTGTGTATATACACTCATTTACGATACTTTGGAAAACAATCATCCCTTTTGATTACATTTTCAATTTAAAAATAAAAAATATTACTGATAGAATGAACATGACGTGAAAAGTGTTGGGTAAATATATGCTATATATGTAAACTGAATAACACTACCAACAAATTTACAACGTAACTGACTACAAAAGATACAACTTCGAACGATTTGATGAACACCAAAACTTAATAAATATAGTCGAGATACGCTTCAATAGCGCTGACCTAAAGACATTGCACAAGTTGCTAGCATACTACATCGATCGTCTCAGCAAGATACAACGACTAACTCCGATAGAACTGAAACCTCGAACTACTCGGATCTGGCAAAACACTTAAGCACTAGATCTCAAGATAAACAAGAACAATAACTCAAAATAAGAGAGAATTCTCGTGAGAGAAATATAATACTCAATTGTGATATGCTTGGATATCTCAAAATGAAGAAATCCACAACTATATATAGTTGTACAAACAAGTACCGTCTCACTCAAAATTAAACACATATGTAACATTTTTACGTATGTAACTTTAACATATAAATGTAAAAGACTTCTCACATAAGAAATAACTTAAGTTTAACTTATATGTGTTTTTAATCCATACTCTGTAACTTTACCAAATAAAGAAATAAAACCATTATTATAATAAACATATTCACAATAGGTAACTTTCGCTTTCTTCCCCACCTTAAAAACCAACAAAAAGAACACAATTTAGGTAGGTGAGAAAAAGGGGAAAAAAACTTATGAATGAGTCAAATACCAATTATTTCTACCAATTCCAAATTTGGTGAAAAAATAATAGAACTCGAGTACTCAATTATAGATTGAATTGGTGAATTCTAAGTAAACTACGTAAAAGGATTGAATAAAGGTCACTAACCACCATGTTAATTAAATATCTAAATTCGTGCTTCAATTTACTATATGTTTTGTTAAGTCTATGTAGCCTAATCAACAAATATGACTTAAATCTAACTTGTCTCATGTTCGATTGAAGCCTAATAAAAACTAGAACGATCTTATAGACGAGGTAAATACAAAATTTACAATAAATATAGCTCATATATAGAGGTTTTTTTTTTTTTTTTTAAGAATAGATGTTTGGTCATTTTAACTTGGTGTATTAACAAAATGGCTCCATTTATAAACTCAACTAAAACCCTAAATAAAAAGCCTATAAAAAAAAAACTCTTAAGAGAAGAATGAGCATGGATAACATATAACTTGAGAGAAGAAAAATGTTATAGAAAAAACCATGAATGTTAAAATTGGTTGATGATGTGAAGTTACCTGAAAGAGAGAAAAAATTTAGAAATTCTCCCCATCTTAAATTCCACACATATCACTTATAAACTCTTGTTTGGAGATATATGTCAATTACCCTGAACTATGCTCACTTTTGCGGAAAATATTAGAATCTAAAATCTAAATCAAAACTTTTTAAACAATAGGTACTAAATTAAAAAAAAACATGCTATTGTAAAATATATATATATATAATAATAATAATAATAATAATAATAAAATAGAAAAACAAAAGAAAAATCCATAGTAAATATTTAGTCTTTTAAAAATTTAAAATACATTATGTTATTACGTGACTAAGTAAAAATTAATATTCTCCATTTTTTTTTCTTTTTAATTTGTTCAAACTTCAAAGGGTGGGACGTGGACCGGGCAATTAAGATTTCAGACGGCTGTGGTTCTGTGGGTCCCTACATTTTTTTTGCCGGGAGATCAAGCAAAGCTTCGTTAATGGTTTTTGCAAAAATGGCGTCCATCCAACGATCCCCAAGGAGCCCCCTGCTGTCGCATCGCCATCCAATTCCATTGTTTTCCTGAGAAAATTTCTTCGCCTGGTGCGTCATCGGAGGAGAAACAACACTCGAGTTACATTTCGCACAATATTAACAGAGGACGCAGCGCAGCTCCTGTTTTGGTTAATCCGCCATGTTTTCCAAATTCTTTCACAAACCTGAGAATCCGCAATCTCCATCGTCGTCGACTTCTGCTCAGGTAGTAATTTGGATGTTCCTCGCCTTTTCCAAAAATTGCTTTCCTTATATTTGTTTCCAGAAGCATATGCATATGCATATTCGGATTTCTTTTCTTTTTAGCTCGTTGATGATTATCCATGAATTCAATTTTGGGTGAAATGATAAATTAATTTGTGCTTTCGAGCTCAATAGAAATTGCTTCTTTCTCACGTGCCTACCATATGGTTTTTGAGCTATATTCTGATTTATCCAATTGCGTTAATCTTGTTCCGTACCACTATCCAAAATAATAACTTATAGATACTATATTTGGCGGCGTTTAATGAACTGGGGAATGGACAAGTTCACTTTTTGAGTATATGTGTATCTTCACTAATCAATGAAGCCTTAATATTACTTACTTTCTTGTACATGTACAAATTTATTGATTTTTAATCATGAACGGAGTAACATAATGCTCTTTGATGGCCGACTGCACAGAAGGGAGTACTGATTGCAACTGATTTGGACCCACGTGTCACTCTTCACTATGGGATCCCGCCTACGGCATCAATTCTTGCTTTTGACCCCATACAAAGTCTTTTAGCAGTAGGAACACTGTAAGTTAGCTTGCTGCCTTTTGGGAGATTATTTGTCGTTAATTATTGGTTACTGATTTGAAAGTTATTTATTTTCTTCCTGTGTTCAGTTCCCATATCTTTGGTTCACTTTAAATTGATTAGATTATCTTATATTTGCTTATGGATATCATGGATATTGTTCTGCTGAAAAGAAATCTGCCTAGTAATACAATTCTTGAGTGTTTCGATACTTTATAATTTTCTCTACTATTTCTTTAAGTGTTTCAAGGAAATTGTATTCCATTATCATTGATCCACTTGCAAACTATTGTGGATAATATATTTGGAGAAGGAAAAGGACTTACATCTTCAACTTGCTTAACAACTTTAAGATTATGATAATTCCAATTTGTTGAACTTTTAACGAGTGGAAAAGTGGTTTGAAGTGATGTATGGTTCATTGTTTTAACATTTGCCTAGTAGAGTGGTATTGAATTCAAACCATTGTCATCTAGATGGAAATATGATCAATTTTAACTTTCTAGTTTTAATGTTGTATTTGTACGTTCTTCTTGCTGCAGGGATGGTCGAATAAAAGTGCTTGGTGGTGACAAGATTGAAGCAATTTTTACTTCGCCTAAACCATTGCCATTTAAAAATTTGGAGGTCTCTAATTATGATTTAGAAAAATGAAATTCTTTCCTTTCCCCTCTTCCTACCACATTAAGCATTATCTCCAACCTGAACTTCCTTCCTTTCTTCTTAGTTTTGTATGTCTTTCATGTCATTCATGGTGTGCGAAACCTTAAAGGAATTTCAATGCTTGGATGACATAGTATGTTTATTTGAGGGAGTGAATGCATGCATGTTGGCCTGTAAGCTTCTTGTATGGTTGGTGCTCCCTTTCTTGCACTTGTGATCCACCCTACTCACGGATTGCTTTAGTTCATATTTGCTTTTGAATTCTCATGTTTTGTACATCAGCTCCTAAGGAGTTGCCTACCCAGAGTCATGTTATTGATAATTTAAATTAAATTTAGCATACAAAAATATCTCTTGATATTTTGCAATTACCATGTGCAGTTTGGAGAAAAGCTCATATCTATTGCTTAGCTTATATTCTGACATCATGATATTTTATTGTTTTCTTTTGTACTTTGTCACAGTTCTTACACAATCAAGGTTTTCTAGTGAGCATATCAAATGATAATGAAATCCAGGTAGACTCTTCACACTATTAAATATTTATCAGTTACCCAAATAGTACCACCAGAAATAGGCATTGGGCTTCTGTATTATAATTGTCTAAGCTTGTTTCATTTCTCCCATTCCTTTTTTCCTCTAGTTTCTTCTCCATTAGCTACTAATTCGTTTCATATGTCTTTAATAATGATAGGTTTGGGATCTGGAGCATAGACATTTAGCTTCTACTCTACAATGGGGGTCCAATATAACTGCCTTCTCTGTACTATACGGAACCTGTTACATGTACAATACCAGCATAAATTATTGTCATTTTTTAATTTAAAAAATATTATTGTTTATCTTGTTTATAATCTGTTAATTGAAAATAATTGAAAACAGCAATCTTTCATTATATTCAGGTACGTGGGAAGTGAATATGCTATGGTGGCTGTCTTAAGGTTTGATTCTGAAGAAAGAAAAATCAGACAATTACCCTATTATATTACTGCAAATGTCATATCTGGTAATACTTTCTTTTTATGTGGATTAGAGCCATCTCCATTTATGAATTGAAATCTAATGTGATTTTGTCTTGTCTACGTTATGTGGATGTGTAGTTCCAACCATAGTTGTCTGGACTAAAGAGGGTAGATATGTAAAAGAGAGAGAAAGTGTAATGAATGATTCGTGGAATCATTTCTCATCTTTGATATTTTGCTTTATCATTTGTGCCCTTTTATGTGCTTTACAATAGTAGTTATGCTGTTATCTTTTATATGATAATTCCACATCTCATCTTATTAGCTTTACGAATGAACCAATCATAATAGAATGTAGTTACGCATCATTTGCAAGTTCAGTGAAGTAACATTTGTTTTCACCTGGTCAATTCACTTGCATTAAATAAATTAGGCTGTGAAAAAATTCTTAACAATGCAAGTAAACTTATTTACTAAATGCTTAATGGGCACGTCTAACATAGTCTAAGACTTCCTTTTTAGTATAAAAAAATTTCACCAGGAATAGATTACTTAACACTGTCAGCCACAACAGTTATTGAACCATCTCATACGTGTGCATTTTAGAGGAAATGACTTCTAAGCTCTGAGCCAATCAAAATAATTCATATTTATCCTTCAAATACCTTTCCACCGCCACCCCCCACCCCCCCTTCCTTTTTTGTATTGTACAGGAGGCCGTCAATTTACTTTGATATTATAAGTTAGCTCTACATTTATAGATCATACATTAATACTAATATGTATTATATGTTTAATTTTTCAGATGTAACTGGGGTGGAACTACCTGATCAAACTTTTGCAGTTGGAGTTCTCCTTCAACCTTGTTCTCATGGAAATAGGCAAGAAATTATTTTAACTTGCCTCTTGTTCCCTGTTTTAAGCATCGCGCCTTAACCCACACTACTTTCTTTATTTGTACAATGAACTAATTTGTTGGGCTGTTAGATGAATATAAGATGATTTTGTGAAGATACTCATGGTCTGAAAACTGTAACAGTCACTTAGTGCTTAGAAGCACTTGGGCAATAAACTGTATACTTTGATTGTGACCTTGTATGTTACAATTAATTGAACAGTACACTTTCTGATACATTTTAGATTTCTTCCACTTTTCTATCTATTGACATTGCTTGCCTTTTCCCTTCTCTGTGATTTGTTGGTAATCTAGTATGCAATGACCATGTACAATGAGTCCATTCATGATCATGCTAAATATTTGTATACCTTCCTCTTACATTGTTAATATATGCACTCATATTGGAAGACCTGATAAATTTTTAACTTTTATGAAGATAACTTGGCTCAATGCACATTTGATGATTTTATTACTGTGTTGTTAAATTTTAATTTTGTTCTATGTAAGATTAATAGCATGTCATCTTTTACAGAGTGCTGATTGCTTATGAGAATGGCTTGCTTGTTCTCTGGGATGCTTCTGAAGACCGAGCTGTTTTAGTTAGAGGTCATAAGGACCTTGAATTGACAGACAGTAACACGACTAATCACTCAACAGATAAAAGGAATGAATTTCCAACAGATGCATCAGACCTTGAATTGGATAAAGAAATAAGCTCCATTTGTTGGGTTACTAGTGATGGGTCAATCCTTGCTGTTGGCTACGTTGATGGAGATATCTTGTTTTGGAATTTTTCAAATGTTACCTCTTCCAAAGACCAGCAAGTAAATCAATCTCGTAATAATGTTGTCAAGCTGCAGTTATCATCAGGCAGTAGAAGACTACCTGTTATCATTTTGCGTTGGTCTCCAAGTGAATTGCAAAATCACAGGGGGATGCTTTTTGTATATGGGGGTGATGAAATTGGATCTCCAGAAGTTCTTACCGTATGATGTGAACTATATTTTAGCCTTTCTACCTTCCCATTAGTTGCATAATTTCCTTTTTTAATATGTGATTTAAACATAAGCTGGAAAAAGAAGATGCTTCAAGCCTATATAACCGAAAATCATTAGCTTTTTGAAGATAATTTACAAAGCTTTATTTTAGAGACTTCTCGTCCAGCCCTTTCTTGTTGTCCCAATCTTATTATTTATTCCAATTATTAATTTTGTATAAGAAAGGAAAAGCCTGACTACATTACATATAAAATTGTAAAGAAGACAACTGCAGGCATAGTTCTGTTAAAATAAATGCATGAGTAACTTAGTCATCTTTCAATGTGTATTATAAGCTTGTGTTTGTATAATGTGACTTGCTATGATTGAAATTGTGTATATGTTGTCTGTATGTTTAGAGTAACTGGTATCTATTTTGTTGATGGGAATTTGGACAAATGTGATGCGTTGGAAATAGTAAAGCCCCATGATCACTTGTTGGGGCACTGTGACACAAAACTTTTGGGCACTCTAAAAGCTTCTGCATTAATAAGTGCTTCTATAGTATGTAAAATAAAACGAACATATTCTCCAGGTCTTCACTAACTTGGGATGTATAATCAATATAATGTAAAATCATAATTTGTTTCTTCATTAACCCTTACATGCTTTGTTATCTTCACTTTGTTTTGTCACTATGTATTGCTTCAGATTCAGAATTTGAATGTTCTCTTGTTACAGATCCTAAGCCTTGATTGGTCTTCTGGAATAAAAAGCTTGAAATGCCTAGGACGTGTTGACCTTACACTCAATGGTTCTTTTGCGGATATGGTTTTATCACCTAATGTTGGTGAAACGAAGAGAGGCACTTCCTTATTTGTACTGGCAAATCCAGGACAGTTACATGCTTATGATAATGCTTATTTGTCAGGCTCAATGTCTCAGCAGGAGAAAATATCCTCTGATTCTGCAATGCAATATCCTATGGTAATACCCAATATTGAACCACGTGTGACTGTGGCAAAGTTAGGTTCCTTATACACGGAGGGCAAGGTCTTCAAGGCTCTAGATGAGGTACTCCATCCTTTATATGATAAATCAACCTAATTTAGTAGTGTAAGAGTATAATCTACAGTTAAATAAATTTTTTATTTCTTGAACTTGAACTGAATAATATGGTTTGAGTTTTTCCAGTCGTATCAACTGCAAATCCTTGTGGCATGTCAGTGTGATACAAAATTCTTTTTCCCTTTAGATTTTCACACCTACAACACCTCATACTCAGGTTACAGGGGATACAATTTGGCCTTTGACTGGTGGTATACCATGTCTACTCCGTGATGCTGGAGACTATCAGGTTGAGAGAGTTTATATAGCTGGTTACCAAGATGGCTCCATTCGGATATGGGATGCAACGTATCCATCCTTCTCACTTATTCTCTATTTAGAGCCAGAGGTTTGTACCTCGTGCTTATGTTTTCTTGGAAGTTTCAATTCTATTATGCAGATAAGCTCTTTTGTTTATGCTAGGTCATGAGCAAACTCATGAGTTCCATCAATAGAGCATATCTGAATATGATTGTATCTTTTACAGGTAATAGGTTTAAATATTTCTGGTTTAAGTGCATCAATATCAGCTTTGGACTTTTGTTCCGTCACTCTAACCATAGCAGTGGGCAATGAATGTGGTCTGGTAATGTCATTTATTCTCTTAAGCCCCCTTATTTCAAGAGAGTTGAAATAAATAATCAGGTGGCTATATTCATATTTGGAAGTTTGTAGGTTCGTCTTTATAAACTAGTTGGGAGCTTGGAAGCGGAAAGTTTTCACTTTGTGACAGAGACTAAAAATGAAGGTATGTCCTTGTTAATAATTTTTTCTCTATTGATAAGTAATTGATAGGATTGCTATTAGGATAGGTTGGAGATATTATTAGGGTATATTAGTAATTGGGTTAGGGAGTTTGGTTATAAATAAGGTAAGGGGAAGGTAGGCAATTAATGACTATGGTTTTGGGGGGAGGGTCCAAGTACCTCGAATTACTTGTAGGTATTTGTAGTTCTTATATCTTGTTATATTTCAATATCGTTAAGAGTTCGGGTTTCTATCAGTAATTTATTTTGCTAGAGTTACCTTCAATGATATCCTTATGTACGGAGATGCATAAAGCAGTCATAAGTGTTTACGGGATAATTTTCATAAACTTCTAAGGTTCTGTGGATTAGAAGAAAATGACTAAGGACTAGATAAAACTTGAGCTTTGAAAAGAATATCCATTGAGGAGATCTGTAAGGAGGCTATCTGGCATACTAAGTCTACCCAATTAAATAGGGTCTGTGGAGTTCAAATTTCAAATATCAGTTCTTAAATATATCTGACATATCAACCCTGAGTGGAGGACCAGTCAAAGGCAATCAACTTGTGTTTGGAGATATATCTACGATGTTTTACATTTGATAGGCCAAAACTTGAGCTGGATGGGTATCATGGATGGAATACTAGTACCAAGTTTCCACTATAACTACTTGGTATAACATGGGAAGTCAAATGATGTCCTCAGTTGGTTAGATTCTCAAAAAGTAGGATGCCATGTTGGTCAGTCTCAAATTCCAAGTCATGTCCCTTGAAATCTAACATTGGCAAACACCATAGATATATGGAATTTTAAGTAGGGAACTTGGTTTTCTAAGGTTACAACCTGACAAGCACAGCAATACTCCTTTTAGTCAAATGCAACGAAAAGTTGGCTCCAGAAATATCATTTCGGAAATTTGGTTTGAAAGAAACAAATGCATCTTTGAAGATAGGAATTGGGATTGGCTGGACTGTTTCGATCTAGCCCAGTACAAAGCTTCTTGTTGGTGTTCCATTTCTACTATTTTTAAAGATTATTCTATTAGCACTATTGTTCCTCTTGGGATGCTTTTGTCCCTAGCCAGTTCCTATGTTTATTTGTTTTATTTTTTCACTCCTATGGGAGTTTGTATATTTTGAGCACTTTTGTAATTTTTCATTTATCAATGAAAAGTTCGTTTCCTATTAAAAGAAAAAAAAAATATTATGGCCACTTCCTAGGAATGGAATGAATTGGGAAGGTTGTCCATCGTTTGCAGCTAGGTGGGGGTAAACCCAATTTTTCATATCATCCCTAAAGTAGCTAAGGGATCCAATATAAACCCCAGTCTGCTCTTTAGCATCTCAACCAATTCTCCAACTAGAACTCAGCTCAGCAGTAGAGTTAGGAATCTGCCCCTCATCTGATTTTCCTTTGTTGAAATGGAGGTATTAACCAATAGAAGGGTCAACATGTTGACAAGGCAACAGGGGAGTCTTTACTAGGAGGGCTTAATAGGAATGAAGAACTTCCATTTGAAGCAACAATTCCTTCCATGTTGCCTCTGAGGAGAAGATGAAGACTGGGTAGGGGTATCAATAGGAGCAAAAACCTACAATTTTTTTTTTTTTACGTTTTTGAGGAGAGTTCATGAGCCTATTATTTAGAGTTTGAGATGAATAATTGGTGCTGTGGTGAGGGAGCAAGGGTTGCTCTTGTTAGAAGAGCTGTTGGTTCATTTTGTAATGCTGTCAGCAAACAGACAGAAGAAGTGTTTGTTACTAAGAGTATGCATGAAAGATGTGACTGGGAGGGAGTGAAGGCAGCCAGTTGGTTGTCAAGTGTAAGCAGGAGAGAATCAGCTCTCTAAGTAACTTTTGTCTTTATTTCCTGCAAAAGTAGCACGACAAATATATTTCTACTGTACCCCTAGCAGTAATATTAATTTATTTCTAACTTTCTTGTAGTTCATAAAATGCACGAAGGAGAAGGGATCCAATGTGCTGCTGTATTTTCTCTAGTAAATTCTTCTGTCAGTACTCTAAGTTTTAAGAGCTCTGGAGCCATACTTGCTATCGGATTTGACTGTGGACAGGTGAGTTTATTGTGCACATTATGTTTACTTATTGAAGTGTCGAAGTTTATTGATTTACTATTGTTTCTATTCTGCTGCCCTAAGTATTCTTGAGCTCTTGCCATGTAATATGAGGATAATACATTCTGAATCCTTAGTCCTACATTTTTATGCAGGTTGCAGTGATTGATACTAATGCATTATCACTGCTATATCTTACAAATGATGTATCCAACTCAAGATCTCCAGTCATCTCTCTGACTACCAAATCATTTTCAGATACAAATGAATTGGAGGCTAGTTCCAAGGAGTCTGTAGCTAAAACTGTTAATCCTTCCAGAGAGGGAATTGTGCTCGTAATGACCAAGAAATCAGATTTAGTTGTCCTCGATAGTACTACTGGTGAAATCATCGGCTCCCAATCAACATATGCAAAGGAGTCGACTGCAATATCCATGTATATCATTGGTATGTATTTCATTAGAAAAAAATGAAAACTCTGCTTCTTTCATTTTCTTCTTTTTCTATCTTTAGGTCTGTTTTAGTCACATTAAGTTTTTGCTCAGAGGGTGATTACTTGTCACCTGAAGTATCCAGTGGAACTCATTCACAGAGCACTCCGAAGAAAAGTGAAGAAAAAAGCAATTCTTTACCTGCCTATGCCCACTCTGGAAGTACATTGAAAGATGCCGAAGCCGAGACCTCAAGTGGAATTGCAATTTTAGAACCAACAATTGCCAACTTGTTCATCTTGCTTTGCTGTGAGACTGCATTATACCTGCACTCCTTGAAGACAATGATTGAGGTGTCTTTTGGCGTTTTTAGCACGTTTCCTCCATTTCTAATATGTTTTTGCTAATATTTTATGCGTCCTAATTCTAGGGTGAGAATAAGTTTCTACAGAAAGTGAATCTTACAAAACCATGTTGTTGGACTACAATGTTAAAGAAGGGCAGTAAAGTGTCTGGCTTGGTTGTTCTTTACCAAAATGGTACAATTGAGATCAGGTGATGTTTCTGAATGTGCAATCTTCTGTGCCAATTTTTAAGAACCAATATTTGAGTTTTGCTTAGAAACTATTGACAAAGTTTAATTTTGAGAACTAAATTCAATTATTTTGCAAGCTATTAAGAGGAATAATTGTTTGCTTCTTGTTTAAAAAAAATAGGAATAATTGTGTCTTATTTTACTTTTCCATTTTTCTCTAAATAAAATTGACAAAGGAGAAAACCCATAGCCAATTGACAAAGATTAAAGAATATCATAGCTATAAAAAGAAGAGTAGACCATTGAGAACTCTATAGTATAATGAAAATCCAAAAGTCTCCCAAATGTCACAAATGTATGGAGATTTCCTCAAAAGTTTTATCGGTTCCACAGGTAGCTACCATGGCATTGTTCACAAAGTTTAGCGAAGCCTTAGCTTTTCCTTCATGAAAGTACCTGTAGGAGTTGATTATCGACCTCTTAGAATTTCTAGAAAAGCTGAGATTTGTCTCAAAGCTCTTTGGCAAGTTGCTCCAAACATAGTGAACGTAGGAACAATGTAGGAAGTTGCTCACAAAGTTTTATGAGGAAGAATTCATCGATTAAAGTGGAAAATAGTTTCCCTTCTATTGTTCATGGGAAGATTGGTATAACAAAATGAAGAATAGGAATCAAGCCCTTCTTTCTAAATGGTTATGAAGGTTCCTACGAGTCTGGAGAGAGTTGTATTGCAAACATGTATGGCATACAGATGATTAGTCAATAACAATTTCAAATACAAATATTTTCTGGAAGCCTGTGGCATTGGTTGTCAAACTTAACTTCATTATGTAGGATTGGAAGACAGTGAATGATGTAGGGAAGGAGAACGCCCTCAATGTCTGGTCTCCAGATCCTGTAGGCTTTTCAACCGTTTAGAAATTAAAAGAAAATACAATTAGGAAAGTCTGGAACTCTTCAAATGGTACTGGATGCTTAATTTTATAAGATCCTTGAAAGTTAGAGGTTCAAAAAGTGGGCTTTCTAAGCTCTCTTATGGGGAATTTTTAGATCTTCTCTTTCCTAGATTTTCAAATTTGGGAGATGACGCCTTATGTTATTTATAGACAGTGAAGTACCTTTTTCAGTAGCTAGTTGGGTTGGACTCTATATCTCAAATTATGGAGAGCCAAAATTCCAGACAAGTGCAGGGTATTCATTTGACCTTTATGCCTAGGTGGTAGAGAACAGAAATTGCCTGAGATATGTTAGGTATCCAGATATACTAAACGAAACTAAGTAACTATATTGCAATATCAAAGAGAAATTATAATATCAATAGTCTTTCGAGAGGGCTATCTCTCTCCCAAGAACTCTCTCAAGTTCCTCACCATATACTATTCTCCAAGATATTTTTCTTCTCCCCTACTATCTTGTTTATATCCATCTTACTCCTAACTAATTCCCATGCTAATTACCATACTGCCCTTCATACTAACAAACTAATAATATTCCCCTATACTCCTAATAGGACTCTCACAAGATCTTTCTCCACAAATTAGTCACAGTGAGTGAATAAGACAGTGTGAAGTGAAGGCAAATACTTTTATGGTTGTTTTGGCTTGAGCTTGCTCAATAAGAGATTCTTTGAACTTTAGGAAGACATCAGGCAAAATTTTGGCGGCTTACTCTTTTTTCCTTTTATTTCTTGGACATTTTCTCGGATTCCTTGTCTAAATCTTTTCGTGATTATTTCATATCTTCCATTTGTGCCAATTGGGATTTGGAGCCTTTATATAACTCCATCGGCTAGGAGATTTTCCCACTCTGTTTTGCTTTACCAATCGTATAGTTCCTTCAAATAATGAAAAGAAAGTCATTGAAATACAAAATATTGTTCAGGTTATTAATTGCTTCTTTTTTTCCCCTCTGAAGAATGAAAAATATTTAGTTAAAAAACAACCTGCCAAAGAGTTTTGTGGCTGTAGAAGTTGTTTCCAATTTTTCAAACTGAAAACAGTTTCTGTACTTTGTTTTCAACCCATACATCCTTAAAGAATAAATAACAATCTGTCTGTCAAACCAAATGATATATATTGTAGGAATACCCATTTACTTTTATATATACCATGCATACTCCGTGATTTGCCTTAAGCAATGATACTCTGGTGGTATTAATAGTTAGTTGGCTTCCATCTCTGAACAGATCCTTCCAAAATCTTGAGCAAGTGTTGTGGGAAAGTTCCCTGACGTCAATTCTACGGTGGAACTTCAAGACAAACATGGACAAAACAATCTGTTCTTCTGATGATGGGCAAATCATGCTGGTACTCTCTCCCTGATTTTCTTGTGGAAATATTTTATCTCAGTTAATATTACAAATAGAGATCTTATTCTTCACGACCTCACCTCTTTTATGTAACGTTACTCTCATTACTTACTCTTTCTAACATGTCTTCTTTTCTACTCTCTCACAAATCCCTGTCTACACACACTTTTCAGTTCACCTAACTCTACTATTTTTTTTTATTCACACTTTATCATATTACTTTCATTATGCTAATTTTCTCTCACCATTCTCTCTCATGCTCATTCTCTTTATGCATGTTTCAGTACGTTTTCTGAACATAGGTTTTTACTCTGTACTGACTTTTTCATCTCATAACATTTCTCCATGTATCTTCTCGCTCTCGTTCGAGACAATTTTCTCTCTTAATTTAGGAACTTTTTTTTTATAAGAACTCTTAATTTGGGAACTAGAAAATAAATTTGAGGAACTAGAAAATAATTTTAGTTGAGATATTTTATTAACTGTTGAAAAATGTATAGATTGGAAAACTGTGAATGGCCACGCCAATCGAAACATAACATTAAGCATAATTAATGAAGGTAGGTGAACCAAACTTATAGTTTAAAATATTTAACACATGCTACTTTCAGATGGCCTGCCAAACAGCTCCATTAGCCTCACCTATATGGTATCTTCACACCTGTACAATCTATGAAATATGTTAGAGTATAGATATTAGTCTATTTTATATTCTTGTATTAATATTAATTTGTCCTTTGTCCTTTACTTTCTCGTTATAGGATTACGTCAACCTTGTATATTTGTCTATATATATAGACTTCAGTAATGAGAATAAGGATAATCGGGTTGTTTGAAACCTTAGTTTCTACATGGTATCAGAGAGCTCTAGGTTTCTTTTAAAATTTTTGATGTCCATTAGGGTTTTGTGCCCATTAGGGTTTTGTGCCCATTAGGGTCTTGTCCCTTAGGGTTTTGTTCATTGCTATCCAACTCAACTCACTACTACCGCCGTCACCGCCGACCACCGCTGCCGTTTGCTGATTCGCCAGCGTTGCTGTTTTCCAATTGCTATTCGTGGGTTTCGTCTCGTCGTCCTTTGCACCTTCGTCGTAGCCAGTCACTGTGCGCTTCTGTCACCACCAATCGCCTTCGCCCCTCTGGTTGTCGTAGGGTAGCACTTAGGGTTTCTGGTTTCAGAAAACACCTGATCTGATTCAAGCGATCCAATTCAATCGGTTTGGTTTCAAGTGGTTTGGTTCATCCGGTTCAGGTTCGGTTCGATCTGGTTCATCACATTTCGGTTTGGTTTGGTTTGATTTATACCGGTTTTGGTCCGGTTCGTTTGTTTCAGTTCAATTGGTTTGGTTCACTTGGCTCTGTTCAATTGGTTTGGTTCGATTCCCTTTCCTCCTTCAGATTTGGTTTGGTCTGGTTCTGTCATTTTGTTCAAATAAGTTCGTTTGTTTGTTATGGCTGATAAGAAATCAATCCTAACTTCTGAGGTGATCCCAATGATATCAAAAATCACGGAACACAAGTTGAATGGAGCAGAATAGATTATTTGTCTAACAAGTTGGGCATGATTAATATATATGCACCAACTTAAAGGGGAGTGTTAGAGTATAGATATTAGTATATTTTATATTCTTGTATTAATATTAATTTGTCCTTAGTCCTTTACCTTCTCCTTATAGGATTAGGTCAACCTTGTATATTTTTCTATATCTATATATATAAACTTCATTAATGAGAATAAGGATAATCGGGTTCTCTGAAACCTTAGTTTCTACAGAATAGATGAACATTGGAAATACTTACCAAGGAGCCCTTCTGATAGGGTAGGATAAGATGTTCATAACTTTTAACATATTTTTTATCGAGTAGGCTAAACAAATCCAAACTTAAACTCCATTAAATAAGGTAGGGGTGGATCTTGTACTAGATTGACTCTTAACGGTTGGTAGCAGTGGATGGTAGTCAGCTAAGATGAAATTGCATCTAGAAATTTCTATAATACGTGAACATTATTTTGGGTCTAAAGGAATGCTACCTTAGAAAAATATAAATGAGAACCATTATGGGATGACTCAAGTGGTCAATGAAGGCCAATGGAAATAGCAAATGACTTAAAGGAAATGAGTTCAAACCATGGTGGCCACCTACCTAGAATTTAATATCCTACGAGTTTCCTTGGTTACCTAGAATTTAATATCCTACGAGTTTCCTTGTCAACCAAATATAGTAGGGTCAGGCGGTTGGCCCGTGAATAGTCGAGGTGCGCATAAGCTGGCCCGGACACACGGATATCAAAAGAAAAAAAAAAGAAAAATATAAATGAGTTTTGAGTATAGATGAATACAAAATTGGTGTCAAACAAGTATTTATACTTTTTGTTGTTTTCAACTTCGGAAAAGCTCAAAAAATTTACAGACTAGTATTCAAACAAAAGTTCATGTTTTAATTGTAAAGATAAACATGGAAGAAGTCTAAGAAAAAGAAATAAAGAAAGAAATAGGAAAAATGATTTTTAGAAAAATTAAAACTGTATTTAGCTCCAAACATACATTTTTCTTGCCCTGCATTTATTTGGGTTTTCTCAATCTTCTTACCTATGATACCTCAGAGGCATCACACATGATTTGTCGGCATTTTTGGTCACTTTGTTCTGGATAAACTATCAAATCAAACCATGATGATCATGACTATGCAATTCAGTTTGAGCACTAATTTGCATTGTAATTTTCTTACTCTAATGATTTGATTTTACAGTTAAATGGGACTGAGTTTGCAGTTGTTTCTCTATTGATCTACGAAAATGTTTTCAGGTCTTTCTCACAATCTTATATTATGTGTGTGTTTGTGTTGTGAGGGGGTTAGTGTGTCTTCTTACTTACAATATTCTAATCTATAAATTCATGGATGAGGTACCATCATCAATCTGACATGATTTTCTACATTTTTTAGAATTCCTGAGTCTTTGCCTTGCCTCCACGATAAAGTCCTTGCAGCTGCTACAGAGGCCTCGGATAACTATCATCCAAGCCAGAACAAACAACAGGTAATATTGCTATACCTTCAGGCTCTCTTTTCAATGTTTTTTAAAATTATTCTATCTGGAAGTTTTATTGCTGTCTTTCTTCTACTGTCAAAGGATGTTGCTGCTTCTGGAATTTTAGATAGTGTTATTAAGGGCTTTAGGGGTGGTAGAGTTGAAAACCATGTGGACCCTCTTGGCCTTTGTAAACTGGATGATTATCATCTGGAGAGCTTGTTTTCATATCCTCCATTCTTAAAGCCCTCCAAAGGCATGACTGATGAGCAAGATGTTATCGAGCTTGATATAGGTTCTCTCCTCGTGCTTTTACTGTATTCCTTCAGTACCCTTCCACTCTCTTTCTGAATCTTCATTGCTTTCCGACGCAGATGACATTAACATTGATGAACCTGTTGTAGTTTTGCCAATTTCACCGAAGCCAATTAAGAACGAAAAGGAAGGTATTATTACTCTCAATCTGCTGGTAGTTTCTTGACTTCTATCACATTTTTATACTCATATTTTGACATTGAAGGCAAGAAGTCGGAGAAGGAAAGTTTATTTGAAGGTGCAAGTACTGACTCAAAACCTAAAATGAGAACAGCAGAAGAAATTAAGGCCAAATACAGAAAAGTTGGGGTATAATTTTTTATGATTTAAAAATGTTATTCACCTTTCTTTGATGAATGATCTCTGACTGCTGAAGTCTTTCCACTTTCCAGGATGCTTCTGCTGCAGCTGAAGAAGCAAGGAATAAGCTATTAGAACGCCAGCAGAAGCTTGAGGTATGCTTTCCAATTAATGCCTTATCCTATTTTTACATCTTTCAATGCACATAATTGGTTTTGGTTGCTTATGAGATATGAATGTCATGAAACGCTGTTGAATCAAATCGATTATTAACTGTTTGTTGTGAACTATTTTTTTTTTTTAATAACCTGGGACTCGGACCTTTGTCCTCTATACGCACCGGCTCCAAGGCTCGAATCCTAGAGATATCAAAGACTTTTTGGTATTAAGTTCACTTGGGACCTCTAAATCAGTGTGATCGAGAGTCTCCAGTCCTTGCCTACAGGGCGGGTCCTTGGGAGCGTTTGCTATGAACTTTTAAATAGGAAAATATTAAAGCTTAACTGTTACGCCCCCAATTATAAAGACTTACCATAGAAAGGTCAAAGGGGTAATTGTAGGGGGAGAGGGCCCTAACGGCCAAGAGAGAGAAGTGGGGACCAGTGGGAACATGTAAGGGAAAGGGCCGTCACCTATAAGGCCAGGGGAATGTTGGCAGGGGAATGTTGGGATGAGGGGATCATTCTAGACTTTTGTGCTTTTGCAGCTTTTGTTTGTAGGGAGAGATTACCCACCCTCTCGGATTGGTGGGTCTGTTTTGTGTCTACGGGCTCGTTGTTCTTGCTTTGTATTGCCTACGGGCTTAATCGAAAGGAGTAAAAGCAGTAGTGGGGGGCTGTTACCTCAACTTCAAGACATTTAGCTCCTTAAAGCAAACTGCTGCATTTGCTCCATGATTATTCTCTACGTTAGGATCACCACAACCATTGAAATTAAAAAAATCATATCTATACTTTCCTTTGTTATTTCTGCTCCTATTTCTGTAATTTATAATCCAGTATTTGAATAATCAAAACCATATATGAAATAGTAACTGCTATTCAGTTAGTGTGGAATCCTGGGCTTTCAACATATCATATGAATCATCGGGGGGAAAATGCAGAGTAAGTTTAGCAAATGATTTTTAATTTTACTTTTAAAAAACAGCTAGATTACGCCAAAGTGAGCATAACTCAGCGGTAATTGGCATATATCTCCAACCGAGAGGCTGTGAGTTTGATCCCCACCCCCATGTTATACTAAAAAAAACAGCCAGATTACGATTACCAAGAACTAAAAACAAAATGAAGCTTCAAAAAACTAAATGATGTCGTCAACATTCTGAAAAACAATAATATCTGTAAGCTTTTGAATAATGTCACACAATCAATGCAGCCTCTTACTTTTCTTGTTCAATTGACACCAGAAACTCAGCGAACGAACTGAGGAACTGAAGAATGGAGCTGAAAACTTTGCAGATCTGGCCAAGGAACTGGCTAAGAGAATGGAAAATCGTAAATGGTGGCAACTGTGAGAGACATAACAGGTATTTGGACTTATAAAGCAGAATTAAAGTTACGTTTTCTGGGTAGATAGGACCATCATCCTGGCATTCTGTGTGTTGATAAATCTATAATCTGTCAAGGGGTTCACAAAAGTTCCAAATTTTCATTGGAATTTGGACTCATAGGTATATATTATGTTTTCAAGTCAAGTATTTTTGTAAATAGAACATTTTACTCAACAGTGTCCATTATTTTTGTTGTGTAGAAACATACATGCATTGCATAGTCATTTATCTGAAAGGTAAACATGTGAGAAATTACAGGATTGGGAGAAAAATAAGAAAACAAAGATGGTCTTTCTTCCCCTTCAGCTGGACATAAATGTAAATATCTTTCAGTTTGTATGAAATCGAATCTGTAAAATATTTTCAGTGTTAATGAAGATCTAAATTTTATTTGACCTGCTGCAGCTTTGAGATTGTTTCAGAGATATTTATCGGATGGATTAATTTGGAATCTCTGCAAAGACATTATACATTTATCTTAAAGGTTAGATGTTCGAATCTCCACCCGAACTCAAAATGAAAGAAAGTTATGAAATATCTCTCTTTATTTCAGGTTGATTTGGACTAAATTTTTATAGTTGAAATGGATTCCACGAGTAAATAATATCGCAAATTCATGTGGTTCTACTTGCAATTGCAAAACGTGACGGGAAAAGGATAACTTGCCTACCTTTGTGATTTGTTGGAAAGTTTTTTATGCACCAAAATAATAGACTCCGTTTGATAATTTTTTTTTTTTTTTGGTAAATAACTGTTTTTAGTTTTTAAATTTTGGTTTAGATTTAGAAAATAGATAACAAATTAAAGAAATAGAGTGAAAATTGTGTTTACAAACTTATTTTTTTATTTTTTATTTTTGACATTAAATTTATTTTAAAATTAAAAATAAAATAATTATCAACTAAGGTCATAGTTATTAATTATTGGCTGGATATTAGCGAATATACTACGATAGTATTGAGTATTTTTCTGACTTATTTGGATTCGTCAATTGATATTGCAGGTAGGTAGATAAGTAGATCTCACTTATATTTTGAGCCATTAAAAATAAACCACATTAGAAAGTAAGAAAGTAATGAGCTATCGAATTTAGTCATGAGATCAGTATGGACCTATATAATGATACTTTAAACAAAAAGGTATGATTTCAACCTTGTGAAAAGGTTATGATTTAGACTAATATCAAAATTTAGAAGTGTTTTGAATAATTAATATCTTACCNTGTCGAGCATAGCTCAAATAGATAAGACACTTAGTATCTATAAGATTATTCCTTGTTAGGTCATTATTGAACTAGAAAAATAAAAATAAAAAATTAATTAATGTCCCAACGGTTGATTTTTGACATTCTACCTTTCTTATTTAAGCTTAAATCTTTTGAGTTCCATTTTAGTAAAACTAGTTCGAATTGAATTCTAATTTTCATCAATATTATGATACTAGTAATTTAATAATGGTTAAGACATTGTTTTAATACTTGTACTTTAAAATTTATTCTATAGACCAATTTGTTTTTAGCAAAAGTGAGTTATTATTTAAGAAAAATCGAGATGTGAATATATTTACTAAATTTTTAGATGAGAATGTTATATGTTATAAACTAATCTTAAACCAAAATATAGGAACTAAAATAAAACATGTCTCGAAGTATAGGGATAATATTTTTTTAATAGTTAACATCAAATTTAAATCAAATTTGTTAGTGAATATGTTATTTAAATATAGTCAATTTAACTGTGGTCAATCTTAATGGTGGATCTAGCATTTTGGGAGGATTCATTTGAATTTTAGTAGAAATAGTTTACAAAATTAGCAAATAATAAATATAAATTTTTTATAAGAATTATATTTTTATGCAATTAATTTTAAGAAATAATTTACTAAAAACCTAAAAATATTTTCATGAATTTATATTATATATTAATTATTAGATAATTAATCTTCAAAATGTCATTCATTTAGCCTGCAAAATTCAAAAAAATAAATAAAATTTTGAGATGAGACAGCTCTGAACCACTAAAATTGTGGGCTGTAAAACGCAAAATTTAAATTAACAATTATATAAAATAAAAACAATCGGATCTAAAAAATTTGATGATTTAGAGAGAATAGTAAAAGATATCCGTACAATAATTTATAGTAAATATATTACATATATGTAATGACAACATATAAATTGAAAATAAAAACAAGTCTTAAAATTACCAACAACAATTAGATTAAAGAGACAATAAATGTATCGAGATTTAAAAGTGTTTAAGAAAAAAATTAGTTTTAGAAAATTTGGGTTTACTTTTAATCATCCCACCTTTTTCTTTCTTTTTTAAAAATTGACAAATTAGGTAAGTTTTACGTAGGTGTGTTTAAAAAGTTAGACAAAATATACTCAAAGAGTATTTAAAAAACTAACAAAATGATTTAAAACTTGCGTTTGATAGAGGGCATGTGCTCGCCACTATGCCACAAGAGGAATTTAAAAGTTCTATATATATTATAAAATTCACGAAGCTTGAACCCTCCGATTATACGTAAATCTGGTTCTCGTCAATTTGAATATAACTGAATTATAACATTTTAGATTCCAACTCTACTCCACATGTTGTTGTAAAATAAAAAATAAAAAAATCCAATTAAAAATGGGTCCATCATTAAATTTTTTCCTCTCAAAATTTATCGATGTCTTTAGCAATTAAATCAAAACAAAAATAGCACAAAAATAAATATGTATTTATATATATGGCATTAAGGTTAAAATTTTACAAAAGTGGCATAAATTGTAAATTTATACAATCACATGAGATCGACTAAAATGACTTGTTGTATCTAAAATAGCTTCGAGCATCTGGCTTCACCACAGTTGCCTGTTCTCTCCTCCTTCGACACTTCCCAGTCCACACTACCTTTTCTTGTTGGAAGTACGACCCTCCATTGAACTACCAAAGAAAAATGGGTAAACTAATATGATCACTCCCTTAGCTTAGTTGGTTTGTGTGACATAGTCCCTAACATTTTAAAAAACAAAATTAATGATATTTTTTAAATGCATATTTATTTTATGCCATTGAAAATAATTCACATTTTGCAAAGTGGTCCTTCCTTATCCTCTCCCACACCGACCCTTCAAAATAATATAATAATTTCAACTACTTTTCATATATAGGAAAAAAGAACGGACATGCCTTCTAAAATTTTCCTAGGGATAAATGTCAATTTTTATTATGTGACGATTTAGTCTTAGTACATTATGTGGGGTGGGGATTCAAACTCGACCTTCTGGTCGAATAAGTGACTTAACTCATTAAGTTATGGTTAGAGTGACAATCTTTATAGTTTATTAATACATTTGGTCGCTTTTCAATTTATTGATCTAAATATATAAAAAAAATCCTATTAAATCTTAATAAAATTTTCATAATAGGGATTAAGTAGTTACAGATTTTAGACTAAAACACTTGATTGTTAGGTATTAAAATTAAAACACTCCATTTTTGTTACTTTCATGAAAGTATAGAGATAAAAAAAGATCACTGCAAAAATGATCAATACCCATCCCTAAAAATTTGATTGAAATTTGGGAAGATTTTTTTGCAATATATATATATATATATTATATATTTCTGGCTTTTTGGTAGAAAATATATGTCTTATTACGAGAAGAAGTCTGAGACACCATGTATAGATCTAGATCCTCTGCGAGTGCATAGATTGAGTACAAATATTCGTGCCCCGTGATCAAGAAGTGCAAAGAAGACCATAGTGCATTAGATCAAAGTGCCTAACGCACCGAAATAGCTCGAGCTGGCAGGTAGCCAATGAGAGAGATGCTAACATCTTGCAACGAATCATGACATGTGTGGAGAAATCATCCTAAATGTTGTCGCGTTTCTCTACAGCGCCAGAGGAAGCACAAAATATCAATGGGTCCAAAAGATCCCTATAATCGACATTTCTGTCTTCCTCTCTCTTCATATAAAAGGAACACCAAAACCTTGGAATAAGGTACACAAAACTCACTCTCCTAAAACCCCTGTACTCCATGGCTATTTGCTCCCACCAAGTTTTAATTTAGGCACCAGAGTGGAATCGACGGAGTACCAAACTATGTTAATATTTGGAAAACTCATCCACTAATATTTAATAGGAAAAAAATTAAATAAACTTAAAGAACTCACTAATTTTAACCAGGAAAAAAGTCCTGCATTAAAATTAAGTTCGGTTGATGACAAGATCAAACATTAAACAATCTCCCAAACCTTACAAATTTCAACAAAAATCTAATTTTAGGATAATTTTTCTTTGAAATTCCTATCAATTTTGTACTATGCATATGTTCTATACCTCATTAATTTCACAAAAGAATTTTTTTTAAAGCGGTTTTGCAAACAGAAGTCTAAAAGAGGTAGAAATTACTGCACAAAGTAAATGTTATAATATTCATCAAAGTTTAAGGTTCAATTAGATGAAATTGAAAGTTTGAGATAAAAATTGATACTCGTGCTTAGGGATAAAGTGGCGTAGTTTCTACAAAATAAAAAATAAAAAATATTTTTCAATCCGTGGTGTTTTACAAATTGTGGTGTTTTACAGCCACTTTTTTTAATAGGTTTTAATAAATTTATAATCCTAAAAATTACAATTATTTAACTCAAAAACTTAATAATCATATGAGTAGAGTTCTTTTTTATTTTCTCGTGCAATTGGAATGAGAAAATCATATTCCCCCTTCACTTGTTTCTATTAGGAAATATTTTATTTCATCTTTTTTTTATTTATTTTTTATTTTTTATTTCATTTCATCTTTTAATTTAGTGGGTTTTTTTTTTGATAAAAATTTAGTGGTTATTTACTATAGAAATAAAATTTCTCCTCAAAGTGTTCAGTTTTGGAACAGTAATAAAAATTATATTTTGGGACAAAATGTCTAGCCCATAGTTGAATTTCAAGAGATTAAATCATTTGTCATTTTTGTGGACAATTAGTACTCGTTTGGTAACGTTCCTATTTCTTGTGTCTCGTTTCCAATTGTATTAAAAAATCTAAGCATTTTTTGCAACTAACTATGCTTCTTGTTTATCATTTTTTGAGAACATTCTCAAAATTATATAGAAATTTTGGAAACAACCAAAACAAGTTCCCATTTCCCATTTGTATGTTTGAGTCTTTGATGAAAAAATAGAAACAAGAAACAATGTTACCAAACGGGCCCTAGTTGTATTTTTGCTTTATGAATTTTTTGAATTCTAGTTTATTTAATTTTAACTACAAAATTTAAAGTTAGATTTTTTTTTAGTACAAAATGGAGTGGGGATGGAATTCACAACCTCTTGGTTAGAGATAATGCCAATTACCATTGAACTATGTTCGCTTTGACATTTTTTTTTTCGCTTTCACAATTTAAAGTTTAAATTATAGATAGAATGATTATACAAATTAATAGAATATGAACCATTTTCAAATGTAATTAATTATTTGTAATTAGAAGAAAGAGAAAGAACTAATTGGCACAACATTTATACTGGTTCGATCCATACAGATCTACTCCAGTTCAATAAACTATAATTATAATAAATACAATTACAAAATCTGTACTAAAAATCTCTCATTTCCCATATCTAGTTACAGATCTATCAACTTTCAATTTTTTTTTTAATGAAACGAAGAAAATAAATAAATAAATAAACAGAAAGCAATAAACTTTCCAAAGAAATTAGTTGAGCAGCTTCAGTAGTTCTTCAGTCTCCAAGCCATATTTCCCCTTGTCATCCTAATTTTTCCTGAGCTGTTTTGCTACCAAAAATTTAAAATTAAAAAAAAAAAAAAACTATTCCTATTTAAAGAGGAAAAAAATTATAATCCCAGAACTTAAAGATGGATTTTTTAAAAACTAACTGCTAAAGAAAAACTTCAAAAATTCCTATTCCTATTTAAAATATATAAAAGCAATAATCCTAATCCCCTAATAAAAAGATAATTTTTTTTACTACCTACTAAAAAATTCTTAAAAACTTTTCCTATTCCTATTTAAAAAAGATAAATTTACTAATCTAACCAAAAAAAGATTATTAATGTATATCTAATTTCCTAATACTATAATAAATGTCAAACCTTATATCTCATATATAGCTACAATATATTATATATTTATAAAATAAATAATTCTAACAGCCTATTGGCTATTTAATTAAGAAATAAATATATTTGTTAAAAATATATCTCATTTCCTAATTCTATATTATTTGAATTCCTAATCCTAATATAAATAAGAAAAACGTATTTCTCATTTCCTATTCCTATATTTGACTTCCTTAATCCTAATATAAATAAGAAAAACGTATTTCTCATTTCCTAATACTAATATAGTTAAAAAGCTTACCTATCACATTTTAATCCTAACATAAATATCTTATTATATATGTTTATAAAGTAAATAAATTAAATTAGATAATCTCATGATTATTCAGTATTTACAAAAGAAAAATATATTCAATATTAAAACTATATCTCATATCACAATTAAAGCTTATATCTCACACCCTACCTAATATAAATATATATATATATATTTTTCATAAAATAAAGAATTTAGAAAATCTATTGACTATTAACTAACAAAAAAAAAAAAAAAAAAAACTTCGATTCATCAAACTTAAATCTCATTTCCTAACATGAATATGATCTTTTTTTTATAATATGAAATTAATAATTTAGACAATCTTTTGGCAATTAACTAACAAACAAAAAAAAGTCTTCAATAATAAACTTATATCTCATTTTCTAATACTAACATAAATACAAAACTTATACCTCACCCCGTAATCCTAATATATAAATACAATTTTTTTAAATAAATAGTTTAGACAATATTTTTTATATCATTAACTAAAAAAAAAAAACAATCTTCATTATAAAATAACCTATATATCTGTATTTCTTAATTGTAATAGAAATACAAAACTTATATCACGCACCCTGTAATCCTAATAGTAATGGCATTAGACTATTTAACTAACAAAATAATGTAGTCGTTCCAGTAAATAAATAATGCATTTAACAAAAAGATATCAATTATTTAACATGAGTAACCAAAATTAATAATGCATATGAAATAAATATAAGATCAGTATACTAAGGCTTATTATATTTATGATCTGGAATAAATAGAAAGGGGAAAAAATTAGAAAAAGAAAAGATCGTAGTTCTGATCAAAACGACGACGATGATTCTAGATTTCTTGAATCAAATATCATATTAATTTTCTTTTAGGATCTTGAATTTTTATTTCTTGCAAGTAATTAAAATTGTGGAATAATGATCACGAAGGAACAGACAAAAACAATCACCAAAAGATCAGATCATCGATCGAAAATCAAAGAATGGATCCGTGCTTCCGCCATTGTTGATTTGATCTTTTCCTAAAGAAATCATCATGATCCGAATTTCAAATTACAAACTATTCGATGAAACAAGAAAAAAGAAATTAATAGAAGGAGAAATAATGTTGAAAAAGATGGGTTACCATGAAAGAGAAGAAACAGATCGTCGAAATCATTCAAACATCGAAGAAGCGATCGATGATCTGAAGGAGCGTCGCAAAAAGATTAGTACAAAGAAAAGGAACGATCAAATAATATATAGAGAGAAACAGAAAGAGGAGGAGGAGAGAGAAAGTTTGATGAGTAACGAAGAAACTGAACAGTCTCGGAGGAGTGCTGAGAGTGTGGGTGAAATTCAATTTATAGACTGTGATTTCGATATTTACAGTTTTTTTTTTATTTTTTTAAACTGATATTTACAGTTTTTTAAGTACCGATATTTTTAGTTAGTTATTAATTTATTATGTTATTATGAATGTTTATCAAGGAAAGATTAGGTAATCAGGACATCACATGTTTGATGATTCTCGTAAGGGTGTGTTTGGGAGTGAGAGTAGAAAAAATGATTTTGAAAAAAGAAATTTAAGAATAATTGATATTTCAAAGTGATATCTTAAAAATCAATTTTAAATGATTCTATGTTTTTCTAAAATCAATTTTTTAATTTGTAAAAAATGATCAATGGAAATGTAAGTGATTTTGACAATGACAAAAATGATGTTGCCATGTCAAAATCATTCCCAATCACACCTTAGCTAATATTAGTTTGATAGATTTGTTTTTTAAAATTATTTTTTGGATGGTGCGATTAGTGAAAATTCTGAAAACATATAAACATTCCAACTATTCAAAGAAGGCGGTCCTGAGCGGATGATCTTCGGATTCCATAACAACACGTTTGACGGCTATTCAAATGGATCCAGTTCCTACCCGCCTGCAATCCTTCTTGGGAATGGAATCCTATCGACTGGGTACTTTTAGACCAAAAAGATTTGAGCAACTTTCACTATGCGAGGGCTTTGGTCTACTTCTTTCTTTTATTTTGGATCACAGGAAATGATTCAATCTCAAATTGGATACTATTAAGTTGAAGTAAGAGTTGGTTCAACTAAATATTTCTATGTTTTGAGTGTCTTCAAATTTTGAATTTGAAACTTTAAAATGTGGAATTATATTAAAAAGATAAAATTTTTGATAAATATACTATTTCAGATTATAAACTTATTTCATTTTTTTAAAATCAAAAGAGGTAAATTATCTAATATTATAGTAAAATAATAATTATATGAAATTTATAATAAAAATATTAATTCAATATTTAGCTTGCAACCTCTTCTAGTTTACAAATATATTACCAAACACGTCGAATAATCTTTTAAATTGATATTCAATTTTCAAACACATATTTGAAAACACTGCAAATAAATAATACAATATTTCAACTTTTTATTCATACTAAAAGTTAAGGAGTAGATGCAATTTCATGTTAGACCTAAATTCGAATATTATAAAATTGTTGTATTAAAAAATATATATATATATATATATATAATTTAAAATAAAAAATAAATATATCACCCCACTAAAATTCACATCCTAACAAATTTCATAGAAAATGCTTTCAATGAGATAATAAACAAATTTGTTCGAGTAAAATTCACAATCTGTTGTTTTCTTTTGGTTGCACTGCCTAGCTATTTTCATTTGCACAAAATCAACTATAAATAACTGATTAATTCTTTTTTTTTTTATAAAAAGGAACAATACAATAAATGAAAATAGACGTTGGACACAAAAAATAGAGGACATGATAAAGACGTAAGTGGAAATAAATATTATATGCGATGGCGGAAAAAATAAATGCAATTAACCAATTACCAGATGATAGTAAAATTGTAATTAATACAATTACCATATGAGAAAATATAGTAGTACTGTGGGCTCCAGCATTTTTTTTATTTTTTATTTTGATAACCAGCTGCTACCATCGTAATAGAAAATTAATTACTATACATTGTTTTTTAGTAAGGCTAACTACTAAACATGATAACTTTTCAATTAATTAGTATATTAATAACAATAAAAAAAATTAGTATATTAATAGTTTAGTTAAAATTAGTTAATTTATAGTTTATTTGTCAAAAATATTAACGAAAGAAATACATCTATAGTATATATAAAAGGTGGAATGAGGAGAAACTTCTATATACCACTTTTGCCCTCTCATTATAACTTTCTTGACTTTTCTTTTGATGACAATTGTGTCATTTAAATACAAATTTTCTCTCTCTCAATTTATCTCTTCTCTCCATCACAATCTCATCCCTCTAAATTCCCCTATTTTCTCTTACTAATCTTCTCTCTCTTAATTATTCTTTCATTAACTTTATCTTTCTCATTGATTTTTTTTTTTAACTCCTTTCATCTACCACATACCCTCCCCCAATCCTTTCATCTTCCCAACCCCCTTCCAATTATCACATACCCTCTCCCAATCCTTTCATCTTCCTAATCCTCTTCCAATCCATATATAAATATGTGTCCTCTCTTTCTCATGCCAACCAAAAATCAAGAGGTGGTGGATGGAACAAAGTGGAAAATTTTCTAAGTGGTGTGAAGGTATGAAAATTACTCTCTTGCTTTAGCAACGACAACAACAATGCACATATGGGTGATCGAGAGGAGAATTGATAGTGAAGAGAAACCAAATTAAAGCTGAGTTGATGGCATCAGTTCACTTTCCCCAAATTTATCATTGTTTAGATTGAAAGAAATTCTAAAGTACGATGTGTCGAGATGGTGGTCGATGGAATCGAGATAAAGCAAAATTCAATTATTCTCATAATTTGGATAATAAGAATGCTTATAAGTTTGATTTTTATTTATTTATTTATTTTTTAAACTGATGCTTTTGATAGATATATGCGAAATGTTGTAATTATTTTTACAAAATTAGGGCAAACAAACAATTTTTATCTCTCTCAATATCATTAGGTTGGACCTTTCAGGGTTTACTCTCTCTCACTCTTACCTTTCTTTTTCATTCTAGAATGAATAAACTCAATGATTTAACGTCACACAATTTAACAAAAATAAAATGTAATATAATAATTTATAATCAAGAAAATTAGAGGTAAATTAAGAACGTTCATTCATTAAAAAAAAAAAAACTTGCACGTTGGTACTTTTTCATCTTTCTTACACTTCAAATTTGTACTTACTTTTCATGCTAATATTTCATCTTCTTTTATTACAACAATATCATATCTTGAATTTATATTTATATATAATAACTTTCTTTCTTTAAAATGATAATATTATAAACTTAAAAAACACTATTTATTTTACTTTAATTTAGAACTACAAGATTCTACGTGCAACGCACGTGTTTCTTACTAGTTCATTTAGAAGCACTTAAAGTTTTTATTTTGTGATCACTCCTGAGATGTTTCTCTTTTAAATAAACACTCTTGAGATGTTTCTCTTTTTAAGAGTAATTTTAGTACTCGGTGTTTGTAATTTAAAAATATTTTTATCAATCTGTACTTGGAACAATTGGTTATAGCATTTATCTCTAATAAAAAAGACGTAAGTTCGAATTTCATGGTTGATCAAACTTCATTTGAATGAGCGTCAAAATTCATGTAAAATTAAAATGTCTTAACAATTTTGAAATTACATAAACAAAATTCTTAAATGAAAATATATTATAATTTAAAGTCCTATTACATATTAAAATTTTAAGTATTTTTTATTTTGGGGAGAAATCACAAACTCACTATATTTCTCTCCCTTTGTTTATATATATTATATATCTCATAAACGTATTAAATTTATCCAATCCATCCTCTTAAGTTTTTGGGTTGAGTGAGGGTTTATTCATCCTTAAGATGGTATTGTTGGGAGGTCCTGTGTTCGAACTCTACGTAGTCTGTTTATGCAAGGATATGCACAACAGTGTATTTCCGATTACAGCTCGAACTCGGCCTCCGGACCGACCTGAATACCTGGGGCGGACCTGCACAAAAAGGTGAGCACTCCGACGATCAAGTCAGTACAGGTCGGACTCTTAGTTTAGTTCGAGGTCAGAAATCATCGTACCTGATCGTGGAGTGAGGTCCTCTACTTATGGGTGGTAGTCCCGCTAATCTCGCGACGGTTACACCCGGTAATCTCGGGATCGTTGGTTACACCCGATAATCACGCCGCTGACAGCAGCTCACATCGGCCCCT